CCCTCCCCTACCCTAAAATATAGTGGGAGCTCCAACAGGGTCACCTCTAGTCCTTTCAGAGCCTCCTCTCAACCAGCCCTAATTGATCTCACGCATTACTACTCCCAAACATGAAGATGGAGAGGGAGATGGCTGCCTCATTGTCTGAAGAAGGTTCCTCCCTCCCTCCCTCCCTCCCCCTTACACACACACACACACACACAGAGTCAGGTATCCACCTCTGGCATGCCCACCCACCATCTCCATCCCCTCCTCCTGGGCTAATCCACCACCGGCCACATCAGGAACTCAGTTACCCATCTGGCCGACACTGACTCCAGCTGGGAGGAGACGGGGAGGGGGGGCAGAGAGAGGGGCCGTTTGGAACAAAGACAGACAGCAGGGTTTATACAGTAAGCAGCCTAAATATGTTTGTATGAGAAGAGAGGGAGAGAGAGAGAGGGAGGTAGAAGGGGGGGGAGGCAGAGAGAGAGAGAGAGAGGGACGAGGTGCGTGTACGCAGGTGATTTTTCATATTCACAGTAAATAATTGATCCTACTGAGGACAGAAGGGTTACTAAGTGGAGCCTAACGACCTGACCTTGACCTCTGACCCTGATCCTGATTGGTTGAACTGTCAGTCTGTTACCCTGTGGAAGGACACTGCAGTGAATCAATGTCCAGCTTCTCTGCAGGGACAGTGCAGTGGGGGGAGGAGGGAAGGGAAGGGGGACACACACACTGGTGTCTCCGATTCTGGGATTCACTAAAACAAACCACGCCTCCTGGTGGCGGAGAACAGTAACTGAGTATGGATTCATTCACTCATCGCATCTTTAAACTGACCACAGGTGTGAATCAGAGCGTGAATTCTTTTCTGTCTACATTTGACCCTGTGATGTCCTGGAGAACTTTCCCCCTCACCCCTCACAGGGTGGCTGCTGAGACCCCCCCCCCATCATAGAAAGTGTTAAATTGTTAGAGTGAACAGTTGACCTAATCTCCAATCTGAAAATGGGAGAAATCCTACCACGCCCTCTAGTGGAACATTCTCCTGAGTGTCAGTGGTAACAAGTCAGTCAATGTACCACTGAACACTGACAACAAGACAAACGCCTGTTCACGCTGCATTGGCTGAGCAACGACGTCAGTACTACTGCAGGAGCGTGAAGGTCAGAGCCAAGGCTGATGCTGCTTCACTCCATTGTTCACACCCAGTGTTCACTCATCACTGTCCACTCAGCTGATGAGACAGACGACCAGAGGACACGTGAAGGTAGAAGAACGAACCACCATCACAGCAGCGTCAGTCAAACACACTGACAGGACACAGCAGGGGTGTGTGTGTGTGTGTGTGTTTTCATAAGTCATAAAAGTCCAGGATGAGTGATAACAAATTCGTGTCAAAGAAGAAAAGGTAAATGTACTCACAGATGTTACCGGTGTTGTCAAAACTGTTCAGAACTTCCTGGACTTTGAGAGGACCCAGATCATCCCTGAGAGAGAGAGAGAGAGAGAGAGAGAGAGAGAGAGAGAGAGAGAGCACAAGCTGTTTTAAACCTACGGCTCACAGACAGAACGCTGCCACCTTGGTTTTAGTCCGAACAGAGCAGTAGAAACCAGTTCAGTGGTGACGGGGTCACATCTGTCCAGTCTCCGTCGTCATGACTACATCTGTATAAAACACTGCACTGGTATAAGTGGATTATTGAACAGGGAATGTATACTTAGCGCCACCAAGAGGCTAAGGATGGGGAACTAACAGCTCACTGGTGACAAAATCAGAATACTAACATACCTGCAAAAAAATTGCAGACCCCAACTTGAATAAAAAAATAAAAAAAATAAAAGTATGTCTGTGTCCACTCAAGTGTGCGTGTGTACCTGAGTAAGGCACTGAACTCTGGCAAGTAGACGCTCGTGTACTCCACCCACTGGTCACCTGAGGTATCGGTGGGGTCATGTGACGGCAGCCTTCTCCTGTTGAAAAGGTCAAACGTTGCAAACCTGCGAACGGACGCCTGTTTGACCTGCGGACTGTTCACCTGCTTCTGACGTAACACCTGTGTGAGTGAGAGAGAGAGGGAGGGAGGGATGGAGGGAGAGAGGGTAGAATAAGCTGCTGTTCACTTTTATACAGAAACTGTACTGAGCTCAAGCACAGGGCGAACGTCGCAGCTGTAATCACGAACGCGACCGTTAAACATCTGATAATAATCCGTGGTTTTCGCTACTAACACAGAGGAAAGACTTTGTTTAGAGCTTGGACCTCAAACCATTAGCTACACGTTTTATATTAGGAAAAAAAACACGAGTTTAAGGTCAAAAACAAAGAAAAGTCTAGAAGGCACCGGTTAAAACAACAAAGATAATGAAACATTTGAGAAAACTAGAAAAACAGACTCACTTTGATCCAACATATTCAACAGTGCGGGTTCTATCTTGGAACATGTACCTACCTGTGTGTGTGTGTGTGTGTGTGTGTACCTGTTTTAACAGCAGCCATCTGGCTCGGGCCACTTCAGTCCCTGTGGTGCAGCTCGGAGCCTGATCAGCTGTGCTCCTCTTCTCGCTCTGTGGAGCAGCTGTGTCGGTGTTTTCTGCGCAGCCGTTGTTCATCCTCTCCGTGAGGTCCAGGCCGGAGTGACAGTGACTGATGTGACGTCACTGTGCTGGCGGCGCTACAGAAAACACCCAAACATAAAAGTACAGGGTCACAGAAATCCTCAGACTCAGACAAACTGTTTTCACCTGTTACCCACACAATGGACGCACGCTACTTCCGTTATTTTTGGTACACATGAGGGTCCTAAAGACATGCTAGTAGATTGTCGAAAAGTCGATATTTGATACGCCGAACGTCATTTAGCTTGACATTTAGTTTTCTCACAATAATCCCGACCACTGCCTAAAAGTAACATCGTGACAGGTTTAATGGTATATATTAACCTTATATTTTAAAATAGTTATCTAATTAGACTAGATTAGTGACTATTATTAGATTATCCATAGATACACCGGGGTTAAGGTTGCAATGAGGATAAAAAAAAGAAAACTCGGTAATAGAAATCGAATCCATTTATTGTCTGAAAAAGTTGGATAAAACTGAATTTGGTGGAGTATAATTTAAAAAAGAACCAAATCAACTGAATTCTCACTGTATTTCTATATGTGTTCGGCAACTGTTGCAGAATCTGTCAACAGTAGCTTGAATTCTTCTGAATTCGATTAGTTCAGTCTGCCGCCGGCTACGACGTCATCAGCAGCGGATATCTTTTTGACAAACGCGTGTCAAGAAAAACAGACGTCAATCGTAGATTTATTTCTTTCAGTTGTTCCTGGTTGTATTGGTTTAAATCTGTTTTTTTTAAAGTTCATCTTCAGTTAAACGGCTTTACGGCGCACGTGCCCGGGGTTCAAAATAGACCCATCATGGCTCTTGTTTCTTCTCTGTTTACTTCATCACTACATCTGCGGCTACGACTGTGGCGGATTTCACGTCTGTCTTCAGCTTTACACCGAGCATTCACGTCGGTAAGACTATAACCCCCCCCCCCGGTTAAATGGGCGGGTTTAGCATTCCCGTCGGTAAGACTATACCCCCCCCCCGGTTAAATGCGCGGCTATACAGTCAGTCACTGTGGGGGTGTACCCCGGGGTGTACCCCGGGATGTACCCCCGTTCCTGGTGATGATCAAGGTTAAATCAGCTCACATCGGGTTTTGTTGTGTGTATGTGCATCCGTGTTGCCAGGTAGGAAATGTAGAATTATCGTGTTATAAGGTAAAAGATCGTACATCCGTCATACAAGTGTTTACCAGCGTGTAACAATAACTTTCACGGCTTTGACAGTAGGAACACAGTGAACTGAGTTTCATTCAACCTCGGAGGTCGGAGCTGGAAATGACGTCACAGCCAAGTTATCAGCGTTCCCGTTTGAAAGTCGGACAAAAACGTTAGAAAGTTGGAAAATAGTTGCCGACGGTTGTCAGTGTCCAGTTAGCACCGTGTGTGTGTGTGTGTGTGTGTGTGTGTGTGTGAAACAGACGTGTGCCTTTCCCGCCCTTATGTTCTCTGTAGACATTGTGTTATTAACTTGATTCTTCTTCTTTCATTTTTTTGTTTGTTTGTTGTTGTTTTTATTTATTTATTTTATTTTTTGTTGCTGTCAGAGCCCACAGTAGCCATCGACCCTCCGGCCAACTGTCACTCTTTAATTTTTTGTTGCCGTCAGAGCCCACAGCAGCCCTCGACCCTCCGGCCAACTGTCACTCTTTTCTGTACCGTGTGTCTCTAGGAGATTTTGCTGCTTACTTTTACTTCCTCCGCCATCTTTTTTTTTTTTTTTTTTTTTTTTTTTCCTTCTTTCCTTTTTCCCC